CTTTCCATCTTTTCTTGAGCCGAGGGTTTATCGAAAACAGCCTCTCTATCTCTCCAGGCAGGGGTAAGGTCTGCGTACTCACTACTCTCCCCAGACCCCACCCATGGAATTATACTGGGTATATTGTTGTTGTTGTAGCTTTCTTTTTCAGGATTCACAAGGAAAGAAAAATAATATGTTTTCATCTTTTCTGTAGGTAAAAGAACATTTTCGAACGCACACCTTCAAAAGCTTAGTCTATTTCACAAAATAATTCTGGAAAATAAATTTTTATTAGCGTTTGGCTTGAGTTGTGATTATAGAATATCTATATTTATTTATTTATCTGTACTATATTAAAAACACGAAGGCCTTTAGTGAAATGTCGTTCGCCTTTTTTATTCGCTAAATATAGAGTTCACACTAGATAAAATGGTCATTTAATTATTTTTCTAATTTTTAGGTGTTTAAAATCTACTAAGTTTAATTTACCAAATCCTTCCTTATATACACTATGTACAAAATCCTAATATTTAAAACTTAAAAATTTATTCAGATTTCACCATTTCAGTTAAACACAAATGTAGAATAAACACATAAAATTGAACAGTGACCTAAATTTCTCAACTTTTAAGAAAATTACCTTACTCATATAAACCAATGAACGATGGAATAATCATTAAAAGATAATGAATACTTATGATAACTAAATAAGAAAACATATATAAGTATTCTATCTATATATGTCACATAGGAGTGCTAAAATAAAAATACACTCATGTACAAATTGAAAATAGAAAAATATCGCATGTGTATAAAAAAATATAAGATTTCTGCAGGGCAGAGTGTCTTACTTTATTGAGTAATTATTAAGATCAGTAATCATTATATGTATATATATTTCTTTTATAATAACTCGAGCAAACTCTACTAGCTTCCGAGCTCTACCTCCGCAGGGTGGTGTTGAAGTAGATGATATAAAATGCCTTCTAAAGAAAGTATAGCATCCTGTTCATGTAAAGTTCTGTACAAGTGTAAATCTTGCTGTTCCATGAATTTTATTCATCATTTTCAGATGAAACCAAGTGCATTATGCTTGGTGCTAACAGATTCAGCAAAATGTTGGATGGGCTCGCAAGACATCTTTGAGTCTGCCATTGCATTAAATTAAAAATTATTATTTCCTCCGTTTCAAAAATATCTTAGTTCGACTTTAACTTGGCACGAACTTTAATAAAGAAGAGATACTTTTGTGATGTGTGGTGTTAAATAAGCCATATCATTTGTGTGACTATAAAATTTTTGAAACTTATGGTCTGAAACCTGTCACTGCATTTGTGTGGCTATAAATGATTCATATTAAAGAAATATTAAAATGTGTCAATCTTTTTAGAACAGACTAATATGGAAATAGTGTCAATCTTTTTAAAACAAAGGAAGTAGTATATATAAAACTCTAAAAATTGTAGGAAAAGAAACACAGCATATCTGCTCTGTTTCTTCGCGCAAAGTCCTCATTCAGTACCAAACAGAGATCAATACGATCATCCTAAGGATAAGAGGCTATCTACAAAAACTATAGATACCAATAATCGTAACTTTTTGTTCAAGCTCCATAATTTCCGATCTCCAACTCTTTTTCTTCCAATTATAAAAGAAAATCCCATTTGTCATGAGCGCAGAGTTAGTAATCAATGCAATCTCACCATCAGGAGTAGTACTGCAATACCAAGACTTTAAATATTCCATACAATAGTATGATTCACCCATTCTTCACTATTTTCAGACCTCTCTAAAATCCATAATTCCATCACTCTCATTTCTTTATATGGTTTTGACAATCCTCACCAAATGAGCTAACTTTCGATGTTGAGTTAGGCCTAAGGTCTATAGTTGTATCATGGTATTAAAAGAAGAACCTATTATATTGTTCACGTTACAGATATCCGATGTAGCTAATTTTTTAGGTTGAGTAATTAGGTTCATTGTTTATCAATTTATGATGTGTTAATGTGTTAATAATCAAGGCATACAACTAGTGATGAGAGTCTACCACACATGAATAAGTATAGTTTCAGTTCTCAAATTATAGCCACATTGAAGAATAATGCACGATGGCTTTCCAAGCTTTCGGGTTAGATCAATGCTTTACTTAATTCTCTTCTTGGTAAACTTCACTATAGATGAGAGGAAGCTAGGACTAATGGAACTTTTGTTTTAACACAACAGAGTGCTTATATTCTTCATAATAAAGTTTACTCCCTCTGTTAATACAGGTTCTACTCTGTTAGTGCAGTAGAAAAATATAATGTCTATACGCCGGTACTTTAACTACACCATTAACAAATAATATTTTGATTATTGCAGAAAGATACTATAGGAATTTACTTCATTCTAATTTGATGCAAGAACAAATTCGATTTTCTCCCTTCTAAAGAAACTATAGATAAGAGGCTAGCCCTCGTACTTACATGAGACTAAGCTCGGCCTCCATTCCTGCATAAGGATAAGCAGGTGCCTTTATTATCTGTTTGAGGCTAAGCTCTGCCTCCATTCTCGCATAAGACTAAGCACTGCCTTCCTCCATTTGCAT